TGAAACTGGACCACAATGCGAACCTAGAAAGTGTTTGGCTTAGAGAGCTGAGCTCTAAAAATTAAATTAGCTCTTGGAGTGGTCATAACTAACTGTAATAACTGTTCTACTGGCCCCAGAGTCATTCTTTTTATCTCTCCGAGATCTTCTCCCCTCAGCCGGTTGCCGAGCAACGAGTCATGTCTTGGGGCAAGGTCTCCCATCTCTGGGGTTCTTTAGAAATTGACTAATTGGTTTTTGCAGCCTCGGAGTGAATGTGCTCCCCTTACACGGCAAGAAAACAGATCAAAATGAGTTTGATTTTGGTTTTTCAACGTTCATATTTTGACATTACGTAAGCTTAATTATAAAACTGGTCAAACATGAAATGTATATGTAATTAAATTAATCATCATTCCATATCTGCCTTTCTCTCTGTGTATACTGGCACATATACTATGAAATTGGCACCGCTCTTGAAACCCCGACTGTCTGGGATCTGTGACTCATGGGGAATGAAAAAGAAATGGCATTTATACTTAAGAAATTGCGTAGATGCTTTTGTTTTTGTTTAGTCTCTGTTTTTTGTTTCGCGATTATATTTGCATGCCCTCCCCGGGGGGAGTGAATGGGGCTACTAAACTGGCTGTGTTGTTTGCTTTGGGGAATATTTTTAAATCATCATACCCGGCAACGGGAGAGGGGAATGAATGAGTTTATGCCAATTCAAATAATTGGACTTAAGAAATATGGAAAGGGAAGTGCAAACCGAGTATTTATTTGTTTAAAACCCAAACTTGACAAATGAAAAATCAACTAAAAACTAATTGTGTGAAGTGACAAGAAAGATGACAAAATTCACTCCAAACGATGTACATTTATTTAGATATTGAAGGTAAAAAAACAATTGCTATAGTTGTCGGAGAATGTGTCAGACAGGACGACAATAAAAATAATCAGCGATTGTTTGTTAGTTTAATATTCACGTTATTGATAATCATAGAAATGATGTGTGTTGCCCTTATCACGGGGCGAGGGTATCCCCCACTTCTGAACAAGTTTCGCTGGGTTCACCCGAAACCAAAAGTTCATATGTGAGGCGCTGTCCATACCCAAGTTGTTATTTATTGTCATAATGTGGTCTGCCGTGCCTGGCTGTTGTTTACTTTTCTCCACTTTTGCTGATTTTACTTTTTGCTTTTTGCTTTTTGAACAGCGATTCCCTGAGCTAAACTAAAGCTAAACGTTATGTGGTAGGTCCGATTCCGATACCGATACCAATTCCAATTCCGATTTTGATTTTGATTCGGACTTGCTTTGTGTTTCGTGGGCTGTCCGACGTACTCGTCTCTGTACACTCATTGTATCTGTTTCTATGCATATTGGTCGCTTATTTTTCTGCCGCAACGAGTTTTACTTTTGTTTTTGTTTGAGCGGAGCTCAGCCCAGCTGAGTTCATTTTTTCACGCTGAGTGCGCAAAATGCGCAAAAAACGAGTTTTGCACTTTTGTAGCCAACGAAAAGTGCCAGAGTGTGAGTGATTGTAAGCTAAGCTTTTTGTTTATCTGCACTACAGTCGGCCGCCTCTGTCTATGTGTTTGTTTTAATTTTCGTTGTATCCACTTGTGCCAAGCACGAAGCGAAACCGAAACCGCCGAGATTCGAGATTCAAGATCCGAGATCACAGATCGCGGACCCATCTCATCCGGCGGAGACTCTTAGCAAACCTAGGGTAGGGTGACGTAAGAGGGGGTCACCTGTGGTAACCTTCCTCAAAATAGTCCATAAAATCTCAAACAATTCACAGCCTATTAGCTTAAATGCATCCTTGAAGTCAACGCCTTTTAAGTTCCCATTACAGTCGAAGCATGTACGTTATTTGTTGACTTTTTGCAAAGGCAAAAGACAAACTAAAGCTGGGCAAGTTAACTTGTTGGTGTAGTCATCTTAAAAGTAGTCATAACTTAACATTTTTCACTCTTTAAGCTATTTATTAGGGTCATATTTTAAGGTAGAGAAGGCTCAGAATGTTTAAGTTAATAACAATAAATCCCTGTTAGCATGAGTATCGAGTACTATTTGGTTATGCCTTAGAAGGGATAAAAGCCCTGACCAAACCTACTCTCACATCGCCTGTGCCTTTTGCCCTTTGAACTGCCATGACCTGTGAGGTGTGACACAGTTTTCCTATTCCAACTGTGAGTTTCAGCGCTGCTTTGTTGACTCCCAATTAGCATGGCATTCTGCCGTTCTCGGTCTTTCAGCATGCAGATGTGGCTGGAAGAGAATGCCCCTGCTGATGACGATGAGTGTTTGCCGATGGGGTACTCGAATGCTGGGCTCGGTTCGTATAACAATTAGCATTGCAATGCTAATATTGAACGCCAAGCGAAGAGCTTTGAGCTCTTACTCGGAAATTGTCATCTGAGACCTAGATAAACGATTTCGTGCATCCTGTTTAAACAATTTGCTGTCGCGGAATCGGGTCTCGAAATTCCAGATCATTCTCGGAGCTGTAAGCTGCTGTACTAAAGTCCAATGTAGTCCAATCCCTGATTTTCCGTGAAAATATATTTTCCTGCATCATCAGTAGTCAAGTCACTTTTACAGCTGAACTAAAGCATATATATTGGTTGTAATAAGTTTCACCAGCTGGCATGTTCTAAGTGGTTTATTTCCCAGAAGCGAATGCAAAGAGGGCGGGGTGGCACCTTCTGCTTCCCACTTCTCTCACTTATTGGGTTTTTAGCACTAACAAAAGCCTCAGCTGCATGGAAATTTGCAGTCATTACGGCTGTGATTGTCAATTACTTTGCCCTCCCTCCCATTTTTTGCCTCTTCACTTAGCGTTTCAAATGCACGCCATAAACGGTGGGCGTGGCGAAGTGAGTGCCTCTAATGCCGCCACTGTTTCCACGGTTTGTTCGGAGGCAACTTTCACTTTCTCCGCCGTGGCTGGATTTCAAAAATAGCCACTGCCACATGGCGCATTATTCTGCCTTGGTCTTTGTTTTTGCCACTTGCAGCTGCCACTGCCACTGCAACTGCATCCCCAACCACAGTCACCCTCTCTTCCAATCCTCTAACGAACAGCCTGTGCGTGCTTTTGTGGATCTGTGTGGATGTGGCCACTCGGAAAACTGGCCACCACTTGAGTGCTGCTTTTCCACACACAAAAAAAACATCACGAATACGCCCGCCTTAATCCGGCAAATGCAAAGTTGATATTTTAATAGGATTAAAACAGCATAAATTAAGAAGTTAAATCTGAGTTCGAAAATGATTTTTGTTCCACTGGTTTAGTGTTTCACAACTACTTTTCTGTGTCCTCGCTTCTTACCTTTGTATTTCCAAAGGATTAAAATTAGAAATAAACTGAGATGGAGTTCAGTTGAGGTCTTGCTAAATGGAAATTATTTATTCGCTTAATCTTTTCCATTAAAGACATCTGGTTGAAGTGATTTCAAGTACAACGCCATTATTATAAGAAGGTTTTATGAAGTTATCATTGTTTGTATTACGTAGTTCGGGATTTAAGATAACGACTAATAGTAACTTGAAGTGTGGCATGATAACATGTCAAGTGGCGATTGAGGACCAGAATCATATCTTGGAACCTCCTCTATTTAAACCTGTTTAGTACATTCAAACTTACATGGAGATAAACTATTTTCTCTCTGTGTAGCGTTGGCCTTTCTGTTTTTGAGATGGCTTACAAGCCGTGTGAGGTCAGGCAACCTCCTGTTGATTTCCGTTGCGGAGTCGTGGCTTCACAGATCATTTATCCGCCGGCGGAAGTCGTCCTCAGCTGCTCAGCTCTGCTCCGTTGCTCCCAGGTCAGCCGTAGGAGGAGGAGGCGGCGCTACTCCAATCCGTTTCCCTCACTTCCCTTCAATTCACTTCGATCCACTCCACTGAGAGTTCCACTTAAGTGAGAGTTGATTGTTTTCTGGTGAGACACTCAAAGACATCCGCTTTTCCTCCTTTGCTATTTTCTCTATCGTGCACCTCCATTTCCCTTCCCAAATTGAGTTACAATTGCATAAGAAACACGAGAATAGACGGGATGGGATGACAAAGGACGTCATTCCCTTGGCTCGGATAGCCGTAATGGCATTAGCTAGCAATCAGCTGCTTCTAGATTCTTCGCTGCATGTTCCACATCAACTTGCCGGTTTAGATACCCTGTATGAGTGGGAGGTATACTAATTCTGCAATCAGATTGTCAGTCAGGTTCTTTGTTACTCAGTTATTCCAAAGTATTTAAAGAATGCATGGTACCTCTTGATCGTTATACCGGTACCTCTTGTTCTATCTTTTTCCAAGCGGCAACCAGTTAACCAGCTACCAACAACCTACAACCAACTGGAGCCAGCGAAGCGTTCATGTGAAACGTCCAGTTTCTGCTTCCCCTGCAATGCATATTTGGCTCTCTTCTGCCACTTTTGCCACTTTTGGAGCTGTTTTTCTGCTGGTGCTGTTGTTGCTGCTGTTGCTGTTGCTGTTGCTGTTGCTGTTGCCATGTTGTGGCCAAGTTGTTGCTGGTGGCCGTGTGTACTCGTTTCGTTCGGGAAATTCGTGAAAAACCGAAATTAGCCGTCGTTGTGAGGAAAAATTTGCTGGAAACTCTCCACCAGCCACAGCGCCTCTTCGGTTTGTTTATGGGTTTCATTTTTCATGCCGTTCTGGGCACTCCAAAGTGCTCCAATTGCTTTCGGCCCCAAGGCCAGCGCAATTAATTTGCGCAATTAACTGAAATTGAACGCCCATTTGACGGGTCATTCTGGTGGGTACAAGTGGGTCAAGCAACCACCACCGTCGCCACCTGACTGCAAACGGGAAGCAAAGTAGGCAAATCTGAAGCAATTTCTAAAATAGAAAAGAATTACTTAGTTAGGAAGTAGGAGAGGTTAACCTAAACGATATAGGGATTCAGATATACTTTTGCCTTTTATTTTAAGAGTATTCAATTAGTTTACTTTCCTTATAATAATTTTGTATTTCCTTTGGGTTATTTGCAGACGCGGTCTGACACCACCACACCGGGTGAAATCCATTTCAATGGCTACTTTCACACAGGACGAGATCGACTTCCTGCGCACCCACGGCAACGAGCTGTGTGCCAAGACCTGGCTGGGACTGTGGGATCCGAAGCGGGCTGCCCACCAGCAAGAGCAGCGCGAGCTGATGATGGACAAGTATGAGCGCAAGCGATACTACCTGGAGCCGGCCAGTCCACTGAAGTCACTGGCCAATGCCGTTAACCTGAAGTCTGGTCAGGTGACGAATCACATTCAGAATGGCCACCACAATGGGTATGCCAGCATCCATCTGACGCCCCCTGCTGCCCAGAGGACCTCGGCCAATGGATTGCAGAAAATGTCCAACTCATCCAGTAGCTCCTCTGGAAACTCCTCCTCTTCAATCAGCCGGCCACATCATCATCATCACAACAGCCAAAATAACAACCACGACGCCTTTGGTCTGAGTGGGGGATTGAGCAGCCTGAACAGCGCCGGTTCTACATCCACCGGCGCCCTTTCGGACACCAGCAGTTGTGCCAGCAATGGTTTCGGTGCGGACTCGGACTTTGTGGCTGACTTTGGTTCGGCCAACATTTTTGACGCCACATCAGCGCGCTCGACAGGATCGCCGGCGGTGTCCTCCGTTTCTTCGGTGGGTTCCAGCAATGGCTACGCCAAGGTGCAGCCTCTGCGAGCAGCACATCTCCAGCAGCAACAACAACTGCAGCAACAGCAACAGCAGCAGCAGCAGCTTCTCAATGGCAATGGCCATAATGGACCTGAGAATTTTGCCGACTTTGATCACGCGCCCATCTTCAATGCAGTGGGTAAGTTTCCACCCTCTGGCCTAGTTTCCTTATCTATTCAATTCTTTTTCACAAAATACGTTTCGAACTCCTTTTTTAATATTTTTATATCATAATATTTGATTTCAATTTATTTTTAATTCGTTTAAAAATATCATGACGAAACATGTAGGTCTTATCTAAAAACATTAGTTTGTAAATTATTGAGAGTTGTTCCAATACCATCCCTTTGCTCCTGCACCCGCGGCTTGATTTATCGGCTTTGGCTTCCTGAGCTTCAAGCAGCTCGCTATGCGCCGCTCGCTCGCCTCTCACTTCGAGCACCACACTTCGAGAACCCAACACTATAAATTGCGTGTCCACTCTCTAATATCTCACTGTTTGGCTGCATCCAGCTCCACCAACTTTTCACGATTGGATCAGCGACTGGGGCAGGCGGGGCTTCCATGATCCATTCGACGATTGCGATGAGTTTCCACCAGGCTCAAGCCCTTCAGTTCCGGTTGCAGTTCCTGCTCCAGTTTCCGCAGTATCATCACCACTGCCAACCGTCCAAGAAGAACCAGAACTGGCGTGGAACTTCTGGCAGGAGGAGATGCAAACAGAGACGCAGGATCTGAGGTACCAGCCTCAACAGCAGGATCCGAACTACTCCTTTTTCAATAGCACTCCGCCCCTTTCACCCTTGAATCCCTTCCTGCCCCACTTAATCAATGAGGAGCAGCATCCGAATCCTCCAGAGAAGCCCTCCTATTCGTATTTGTTGTTCAGCTCAATATCAAACAGTTCCCAAGAAGAGGAAGTGGATGACCATGAGATGAATATTTTAAATGCCAATTTCCATGATTTTTTTACGTGGAGTAAGTCCTAACTGCCTTGAGTTGAGTTTTCTGTTATAGTTTCTGTTGCATTTGGCTCGCTCTTTTAATTAATGCTGTGTTTAGTTTGTGTTTTGGTTTTTACTAACTTGAATTATTTTAGAAAGCGCAATAACAGGTTACCTTATGTTGCAGGTGCACCCTTGCAAAATGGCCATTCGACAAGCCCGCCCAAAAGCGGAAGTGCAGCGATGGCGCCCAGTGAGGATCGATATGCTGCTCTCAAGGATCTTGACGAGCAATTAAGGGAACTGAAGGCCAGCGAAACTGTCACGGAGGCGCCCACGCCCACCAACGGCAATGGCCAGACCGCAGATGCCTTCGGTAGCGGTAAGTCCTTCACATTCATTCTCTTTGAAACACTCGCTAATTGGGCTCTTCTTTTCAGCACTCAACAACAATCCAAATCCTTTCAAGGGCCAGCAGCAGCAGCAGCTCAGCAGCCATGTGGTGAATCCATTCCAGCAGCAACAGCAGCAGCAGCATCATCAGAATCTCTATGGCCAGTTGACGCTCATACCAAATGCCTACGGCAGCAGTCCCCAGCAGCAGATGGGGCATCATCTCCTTCAGCAGCAGCAGCAGCAACAGCAGGGCTTCTTCAACTTCAACAACAACGGGTTCGCCATCTCACAGGGTCTGCCCAACGGCTGCGGCTTCGGAAGCATGCAACCTGCTCCGGTGACGGCCAACAATCCCTTTGCAGTAAGTATTCGATTTCCCACATTCCCCTGCCACATCAAGTCAGATCAATGTTTACTCAAAGACTCCTTTCTTTATCCATCCCCTTAGGCCAGCGGCGCCTTGAACACCAACAATCCATTCTTATGAGACTCAAGCCGGGAGAATTCGCCACTAGCCACATGGCAGAGGCGCTGAGCCAGCGAACAAAGAGCAGCAGCAAAGGAGAGGAGAGATGAGCCAAGGAACCGAACCGAAATTAGTCCATTTTACGAACAATAGCGTTAATCTATATATACATAATACACGCCGGAGAGCACTCTCTGTGTACATAGCTCAAATATGTACACGCCGAAGGGCTCCAAGCTGACGCTTATCCTGGAGGAAGCCAGCGGACTGGGGCGTTGATATATTCTTTTACATGGTAACTCTACTCTAACGTTTACGGATACGGATATTTGTATTTGCCGTTTGCCCTAGAACTCTCTAATTGTACTAAGCGCCCATGAACACATCATCCACTAACTAACATAGCTACTAATCCCAATCCTTGTGGAGGATGCAGTTGGCCCAGATTCTCTGTTATTTGTTTGGTCTGTCCTCGTATTTGTCTTTGTCCCTTTTAGCAGTTTCGTTGCGGATAAGAACTCTGTCAGTTATTGATTGTGTGGCCTTAATAAGATTATAAAACTATATATTATAACGTACTACTATATATATACGGATACAGAAACAGTTACAGATACAGATATATACAAATATGCTTTGTACCTAATGAATTGCTTCTTGTTTTCTTTGCTAATTGTCTGCTTTCCGTGTGCTAAAGTTATATATTAGTACGTGCGATATCGGCCGTGCAGATAGATTGCTCAACTCGCGAGTCAAACCTCTTTTGGTTGCACCCACGGCAGACATTTGTACATATACTGTCTGATTGTAAGCCCCATGTAATACCTCCGTTAACACCAGTCCCCCCACCCATCCATCGAACCTAAATCCATGACTCAATTCACTGCTCACATGTCCATGTCCAGATAAGAAGCAAGAATTTTTCCATTTTTAGCCTTAACGTGTCAAACATTATCGAAGCCTTAAAGTTATATTTAAAACTACGAAAATTTCAATAAAAACATTAAGAACGCTATCACTGTTTTCTTTTGATTTCCCCGTAATCGATACAGTTTTCTTAAGTTTTCGTCGTCGTAAAGTTGGCAAATGGCAAAAACTTCGGAATGACTAAATGATATAGCATACTTTTAGGAAGATAATACGATAATCAAGTTCCATAGAGTCGTAGGACGCTGCTATATAGATTTCCATCTGGTAAGTAAGTAATCAGGCAATTTATAATTTATTTGAATGTATTTTTATTCATTTCCGTTTCGGTATAATTTCTAGTTTGTTCTCTTCGTCTTTAGTACTAGTTGGTTTAGCAATTGTTTAAATTACTATAAATTATTTAAGTTTTATGTTACGTACTCGTATAATGTAGATTTATAATTTAAAAATTCGCGTATGAAAGAAAAGTCAAAGGTCATTTAACTGGCAGCCACTCCTTCCTATCGTTCGTTCCTTCGCTAATTACTTTCCTAGAGCTAAATAAAAACAAAATAATAATCATAATGGTAATAATTAAATCGAAAACGTAGAAAAACAAATAATAGCTATAATTCAAAACAAAAGTTAAAGCTGGAATCGCTGCGTTCTACTATCGTAATCGTAAATAAGAGTACACGTATATCTAGTGATGAAAGAGTGCCTAGGTTAGCATTGCATCAACTGTACAGTATGGCTTATACGGGTATAAGTCGCCGCCCTTCTCCTCCACGCCAGCAAACGATTAGATTATGTTTATAATTATGCGGTAGGCAGACTCCGCCCGGAGATATCAATTGTATTTGTTTTGCATGGTTATATCGTAGTCGATAATTGAATGGATAAATAACAAAAATGACTGTAGGAGCGTATTCCTCACTCTGGCTGTGTGGGTTGAGTGTCCTGGATCCAGGATCAGGATGTCTCACCTATGTATTTACATACACGAATTCGATATCTTTATGGATTGGTTACGATCGTACACAGTATGCTTACGGTTAACGCATGGATAATAGACATCATATCATATCTCATATTACATGTTCGAGTGTTCTGATTAAAAGCGGCCTCTTTTCTCTGTGTACATAGGTTTGCTACAACTTTGCTTTAGAATATAGTATAATATGTGCACATGTATGGTATGTAAATATGTAAATGTATTGCATGTTGACATCTAGAATTGCTCAAATCGAATCGGATGCGAATGCGATGATGAGTTCTTTAGTTTTTCATTCCTCGTTAACATAGCCAATGCGATAATTAAGCGGTAATTTAGTTAATTCAATTATATAAAAGTACAAAAAGGTCCTTTGTCCGTGGCTATATGTACGGGTCGCGTTGAACCAACCGATCTATATACACACGCTGGTCTGATCTAATCCAAAACTGAGTCCATAATTAAATATCCGAACCAAACTACATTGAACTACACGTCGCGCTGAGCTGAGCTGCCTACAAGCTAGCCTTGGTATATCTTTGTGTTGCATATGTGTGTTACTGAATACGGGTAATATGGATGCTGAGATTCCGCCGCTCTGGTCTTGGATCCTGCTTACGTGCCATTGGCCTTCGGCAGCGATCGCACCAGATACAGCTTTTCGCCCTGCTTGTTCGTGTAGATGGGCGCTCTTTGGTAGTGATCGACCAATTGGTCCAGCGAGTGGAACTTTCGCTGCCCGATGCAGTACATGTTTTGCTCCACGTGAACGCGGAAGTGCTTGTTGCGCCCGGGAGCCTTCAACGAAACCGAATAGTCGCCCATCTGCAAGAAGAAAATTATTTGTTAATGTTTATTTTTGTAGCATAAAACTAACTACTCACGTTAGTCTCACTGTCTCTGATGAGGAAATCGCCATCGTGCCCATGACCATTGAGCACCGTGTCGCACTGGCTCCTGGTAATAGCTCCATAGTACCAAGACTTGCCCGCCAGATTTGGCCGTTCAATTGGCTGGCCAGAGGATTGCGCTGCCGGCTTATTGCCCTCATTGCGTCGCTCCATGGAGTCAGTTCCTCCACCTCCGCCGCCTGCTCCGCCATTGCTACCTCCTCCATTTCCGTTTCCGGCACTAGCACTCGTATTACGATAGGGCGTAGCCAGGTAGTCGTTCAACTCTTGGAGATAATTGCGTGGAACTAAACCGACTTGGCCCTGGTTGTTGCGAGCTTTGTACCAGTCCGGATCGGAGGCGGGCCGATCCACGATCTCCAACCGATCGCCTTTCTCAAACGACAGCTCCTGGTCGTTGTTTGACGTGAAGCTGTACAGCGCGACCTATATTGATGGATGAAGTATTAAAAACAGATTTAAATAATACCTTAAGATTGCATTTAAAACCCTTTAGACCAGCTCTGGTAAGTCTGGAAACCTGATTCTAATCATATACTCACCACAATATCTAGTACATTCTCGGCCATGGCATAGGTGTGAATTTCGCCGTCGTTATCACAATCCTCCGTTGTGTAGTTACTTGGGAACCAACCGACGGAGTTGCCGCTCTGTCCACGCCACCAGCCGTCGTTCGACTTCTCCAGGATGAGGATTCGAGTGCCCTTGGTCAAAGATAGTTCATCGGGCTGCTGGGCCTGGTAGTTGTACTTAACCACAGCCGTACCGATGGGCTCGGCGGGATCTGGGGGCAGTCGGCGCGACATGGTTGGACTATCGATCTGTCGCGAGGGTGAACAATTGGGCAACGTCTTCGACCCAGAACCCTTTTTCACCTTCTTCTTAATGCTGCACAGAAATCAGAGATCAAAATATAGTCGGTCAGACATTAGGTGGCGTAGGAAGATTGTTTTGGTTGAATAAATTTTTAGGGGGATTTTCAGGTGGGTTAGACTATCCCTAGTTCGTTTGGGTGTTAGTGGAGCTAAAAGTTTTCAGGGGGCAGAGGGCTCGACAGACAACGAAATCAAAACGAATTTGTTGTTTCGAAATACAAAATACAAAGCCGAAAGCATTTTAAAGTTAAATTACGATAACCAAAGCAAAAGGAGGAGGCGGGGATCGAACGCGGTACAGATACATCTACGGATACTGCTACAAATACAGACATAGAGGGCTTAATTCTGCTGAAATCAGAGCAAGAAGAACGCTTAGGTTTAGTCGGACCAGGAATCTGACGCACCTGTCGAAGAGCGAGGGCTTCTCCTTCTTTACATAGTTGCTGGGCACGTAGCCGGACTGATTACGGCTGTTCTGGACGCGCCACCAATGCTTTGAGTCGTCCAGTAGCAGATAGCGCTCGTTCTTGCGTAGATCCAACTCCTGTGCACCTTGCGCCGCATAGTCGTACTTGGCTACCACGTAGCAGACGTCTTCCTGAGATTTGCCTGACGACAGGAAGATGGAAAATATTAGTTTGGTTTAATTCTCAGAATAAAATAACTTATTAGAATCGTATTGATCAAACTGTCCCTAACGGTGCAGCGATCATGCCTGTCCTTCACATTCTGCACGACTATTGCTGCATCTCTGTATAAATATTATGTTGCAATTGCTCACCGTGCTTCATGTTGCCCGCCATTGGTTGGGTTCCAGCGTTGCCGGCGGCACTGCCACTGGAGGAGTTGCCGCTTCCGCTGCCGTTGCCGCCGCAGTCGAGCGTTGGCTGGCCGAAGGTCACACTTTTGTGCTGGGCGCTGCAGGAGGAAGGCGGTGGACAGGGTGCGGTGGTGGTGCAGCTGCTGTTGCTGGGAGAGCGAAGAGTGCCTCTGGTGGTGAGCAGGCGAGCCGGGAACGGGCACGGGCACCTGGGGACGATACTGGTAGATCTGATTCTGATTCTGGTTGAGATTCAGATTCTGATGCTGCGGCAGCTGTGGCGGATGCTGCTGCGGATATTGCTGCGAACTGGCTGAGGAGTCGGGGATGTTGCGCACGAACCGCTGGGGGTGTTCCAACATTCCAGACTGGCTGCTCCTCCGCCGCGGGGGGATTCCTGCTCCTCCAGCTGGGACTGCCCTGATGCTCCTGGTGCTGCTCCTGGAGGCAAGAGGCGGTGGCTCAGTGTTGGTGGACTTGAGTTGAAGTTGATGAAGGAGTCTTTGATGATTTGGTTATGTGTTGCAGTTGCCCGCTGGCACTCTAAGCTTGCTGCAAATCGCCTCTAGCCAATGCATAATTGCTGGGGGGCGTGGTCAGAGGGACGAAGGCATGGGCGTGAGCGTGGGCGGAAGCGCAGGCGTGGCAAACGTAAACATAAGCAACGCAATAACGCAAAATGAATTCAAGAAAGAAAGATGGAAAGAAAAAGAGAGCAAATGATATATGCAAATTAGGTTTAATTGTTTAACACTAAAGAAGCTAAAAAGCGTGAAAATGATTGGCTTAAAAAATACAATGCAAGTACTCAAACACGAAATACTAAATAGGAAACCAACTCAAAATTAGCCGAGAGATGAATGTTTGTTTTTGGGGTCAGCGAGCCGGCGATGAAGATGAATGAGTGAAGTGTTTGTGTGGTGATGATGATGATAATGGTGGTTTGCAGGGGGATCTGGCCATTCCAGTTGCGGCGCAATTAAAATCTGTGCAAGTGAAAGTTGCCTCCGCCTGACTCCACTCAATTGAATCCAATTGCCGGGCCAACGAATGAGTGGCCATCGGCTATTGATTTGTTTACGGAGGATGAAGAACCCAACGAGACCCAGACAACAGACTCGAAAACTGGGCCTTTTCAGGCCAAGACAGACACAGAAACCAACTGAGACATTCGACCGAAATGAGTCACGAACGGGAATTGGAGGCGGAATTGGGAAATTGGTTTCTTGGCCGAGATTTATCGAGTGACATGACATAAGGCATTAAGCGGGGGCTGAGAAGGTTGCTCCGGCCAGAGATCTCTAGAGAGGCTCACGAGTTCGTTGCCCAGATTGGCAAACTAGCAAAATCAAAGTCAATGTCATAGCCAAGGGCCATCTTGGGATAATTAAAAATCAATAATTGTCTGACGAGCTAGGTTTGACTCTTGGCCATTGGTTTCACTTTTCTATGATTGTTAAATCATATGCTAGAAACTGAGTCAGCTGGGAAAGCTCAATTATGAAATCCGCGTACCATGTAGGAATGTAGGAATATAACTTCCTCTTGCGCTAAAATTTCTTCGAACAAAAAAAATGGTTAAATGTATACGAAGGTTCCTGTCTGAAATTTACCCATAATAATTTCAATGTGATAACGATTGGTTTGTTTATTTTACCATCGATTAGTCAAGGTTTTTGCTATTTCCAGAGATACGGGAAAAATCCCAGATTAAGTGGAAACACAGAACTGGTCACAAAGTGATTCACTGCCTGCTATTGTTTGTATTTTCCTTTTTTTTTAGCAGAGAAAGCGGGGAGTGAAACCGTAAGCGTAACCGAACCCAGATAGCAACGGAGAAAGAACCCAAAAAAGATTATGTTTGTGCAAATGCTCGAGTGATAAGGGGGCGGTTTCGGGGTTCGGTTCGGTAAGGGACTTGGTAAACATGAAACGCTTGGCTGGCTGGCTGCCAATGAACTGAACTGCACCACCGTTGGATTCGGATTTGTGTTTGGCTTTTCTTTGGCTTGGCGATTGTTTTGTTATTGTTTGCGCTTGCATAAGCCCAACAGCCAAGACATTGACATTACACTGCTGATAAACATTACAGAGACTAAGGGGAAATTGTAAACTGGCATATCAACAGCACAGAACTTTAAACAATTAGGTTATGCGATGTGTTGAATGTATTGAATTGATAAGAAAATGTAAGAAAATTTAGTTGGCAATAAACTTCGGTCTTATCGGGATATCTTTTAAAAGATCATATGGTTTTCTTAAGTTTGAACTTGAACTAGGTTGATAAGATTATGATGCTTCGCAAATAGTATATATAAGCTCTTGATAAAACTTTGAAAAATATAAATTATTTAACAACTACGATGATTAATACAACTTATTACTCATATGATAGGATTTTTTCATATTACGATGTTTTTTTTCGCTGTGCACTCGTTAATTTTTCTTGACAACATTTCGTCTTTTCCCTGAGAGAAAGAAAGAGTTGCACGTGCTTGGAAGACAGGCCCATAAGTTTATGAGGCGGAAAGTATTGTTTCCCCCAATTGTGTGTCCGAAGATCAGTTCCAGGCGAGGGAGTATCGTCACTAGCCCCCGAAAGCCATCACAAACAAATTGGTGGCCCCGAAATGGGAGCATTTGGGTCTATAACATTGAGTTACGACTTGATGGGGAAGCGAAAGTGGGGCACTCTTATCTGGTGGCGTGGGAGGGAAAGGGCAGCCTGTTTACATAAGATCACTCATTCAGTGGGTAGAAACTTTACTCCCAAGTTGATTAAGTAGACGTTACTGCTGGAGGAATGGGATTTCGGTTTTGTTTTTTGTATTTTTCGGGATTGTTGCCGAGGGAGTTTGCGACGGTTGCCGGCCGTTTCAGAGATGCTGCGCAAAATCTCTACGAGGTGGTGGCTTTTTTTGGCAGCGAGAGGGTGGACTATTCGTACTGCAAAGAACTCGTGGCCAGTGTTAATATCAATACTCGGTATTTGTACCTGGGCAGGGTACTTGCCAAAACTAATAACAAGGTAAATGAATAAAATTTGAATAACTTTTTCCAAAGAATCTGATAACCTATCCCAAATAAGAAGGTGAGAAAAGTTGTTTTTAGATAGAGATGAACTCTATAATGGTGGAAGGTTAGAAGTGCAATCTACGGTTATATCTACATGTACCTCCTGGTACGATGCAGAATTAGCAGTTGGTGGCACAGTTAGCCGTAAACACACGACCATGGTTACCCAAAAAAAGGTGATGGGAAGGCGAGTGTTAAGGGTTGCAGTATAGCACCGCCACCCATTGAGGGTGGTGGACCAGAGCGAAAGGACTACGCACCACCAGGTGACGAGAGAGAGAGAGCGCAGGACAAGAGAGCAATGAGAGAGATTCGAGATTTGAGAGAGTACCACAAACAGGAGCTAAAAAGGAGCAGCCGAACATTTTGTGTGTACCTACCGGAGACGAAGCGATTGGATTGGCAACTCCTATATTCCTCCTGGATCTCCGCCTGGCACTCCTTATCCGTATCCTTATCCGCTATCCAGGCAATGCGACTTCTTATCCTCAATCCTTAACCCTTAACCCCAGCAATCGGAACGGGAAGGCATGGGTTAAGACGATACTCAACTCCTGGAACGCACTCTATTTCACTTCCACTTTCCACTGGGCTATTGCACTTTACACACACTTTAAAACACAACTTTAATTATAATACACCTATCCGCGAGTACATGTGTGTGAGTGGGGCGGGGGTGCGCTTGTGTGTGTGTACATATGCTGCGGCGATTGAAAAAAGCACACAAATCCTGCGTTAATATGATTTTTCAAACTTCTGATCACGGCACGAGATAATTACTTTATTGGCCGAGTTATTTGCACACTTTTGCAGGGCTGATTTGCGGTTAACTAATTAATTTTTAATAATTTCGCCGGAGCCGTTTCTTTCACGTCGCCCATCCGATTTCGATATGCGGAAGGCGATAACTACTGCGAAGTACCAGGGATGCCCGGTGGTGCTACTAGGTATGTTGACTATCGAACTATCAATTGGTGTTGGGATATTTTGCAACACTATCTAGTACTACCGATTGAAGTGTTATCGATATTGAGCAGATTTATTTGTTTTGTTTTGGTTATTGGATTACATGGTTCTTTATTCCGTAATACCATGCTTAAAGCCCGGAGAATTTTTCTGTGCATTACCAGATCCTACACTGCCAAGGCCAAGAGGAGTGTTCTGACGCAGGACAAGTCAAAAATCAAGGAGTACACCCCGAAAATAACGGATAACCATGTGCACCGCGTTTACGTGTGGGGATTCCAAGAGACCGGAGCATTGGGTCTCCAAACCAACGTTAAAAAGGCCAAGGAACGCTACACGGAAATGGTGCATCATCCGACCCGCTTACAGTTCTCCAACAATAATGAGATTATGGATGTGACTGCAGGTTACGGATTCACAGTCTATGCCGTTAAAAGAGATGATGGAGAGACGCTTTTTGGAAGCGGATTGAATACTGATTCACAACTGGGCTTTCAAGTAAAGGGGGATCCCAAGGACTTAGCCAACTTGGATGTCATTATCTATCCGACAGCTATAAAACTTCCCCGAATTCAAGGAGAAACAAATGAGGACATGCAGGTGAAGAGCATTTCGGCGGGAAGAGCTCATTTGGTGGTCCTCACCCAAAATGGAACCATTTTCACTCTGGGAAACAATTCCTACGGCCAATGTGGGCGCTCCATCATCGAAGAGGAGCGGTATAGCAAGAGTGCGGTGATTCACAGAATTCCCCAGGAGGACATATGCGGCAAGGAAGATGAGGTGGTTCATGTAGAGTGCGGCCAGGATCACAGTATGTTCCTAACCAAAAAGGGACGCATTTACACCTGTGGTTGGGGGGCAGATGGTCAGACAGGTCAGGGAAACTATCATACAGCCGGACAAATAACCCTGATCAGAGGTGACATAGAAAAGGAGAAGATTGTGAGACTCAGCTGCTCCTCAGATTGCGTCTTAGCTCTCAACGAAGCCGGCGATGCATTTGGTTGGGGCAACTCGGAGTACGGTCAGCTGGATGACTCCGAACACGCTGAAACCCAAATAAACACTCCTAGAGCTCTTAAGCTAACCAAATCCATTGGCAAAATAAAGGACGTGGCTGCAGGAGGATCCTTTTGCATGGCTCTCAATGACCAGGGTCTGGTGTACACCTGGGGATTTGGCATTCTCGGCTTCGGACCCTTTGTAGAACAAAGTTCTAAGCCCCAGCATCTTCTGCCCCCTCTCTTTGGACGGAACGACTTCAGCAACGAAACCACGGTAGTTTCCATTGGTTGCGGAGTCTTTCACATGGGCGCCGTCAACTCAGATGGAGATCTTTTCATGTGGGGCAAAAACCGATTCGGCCATTTGGGGTTGGGACACAAGAAGGATCAGTTCTTCCCTTTCAAGGCGGCTATCAATGGAAAGGTCACAAAAGTGGCCTACGGAGTGGATCACACCATTGCTCTGTGTAAGCCCTACTTCTAGATTAAGCTGTTATTATATATATAAAATTTATTTTAATTTAAAATATGTGCTAGTCGAAAATACGAACATAAAGAAGGAAAGAAGTTTTTCCCTAAATCCCAGCTAATAAAAAACAACTCTTAAAGATCACAAATTCGCGTTTAATACATTTAAGTAGTTTTAAAGAACATTTAGATTAATTTGTTTCTCTGTCTTTCGACGCATGCTGATAGTTTCCGTTCCTCTATCGGTTGTCTGGTTTGGTTTTTGGATGTAAATAGCGTCGATCTGAATCCGTTTTATTCATTAATTGTTAGAATAGTTAAAGAGCATATATATAAAATATGTACTCGGAATGGGGCAGCTTGTATTTGAACTAAACTCTGACTTGATCCAATCTCTCCCGTTTTTATCCCGCACTCGAGGCTAATACATTGCTCGTATTTGTCACAATTTCGTCGATCGCTTTTGATTGCGTTCTAGGTACATGTTCGTTACGCTTCTTTACTAGGGTCTATGATTCGCTAAACTCGCTTGGCCAATGTTGATATCTTTACCCGGAGTGGGCTGTGTCCTGCTAAACAGTGGTAACCAGATCTAAACTTGTTGGCATGGCTCTCCGAACAGATCTCCTCGCTTCGCTATATGTATAAATCGATTCTAATTAATAATTGGTTTAGGTTGTGTATTCATATGGGTTGTTTTAGCTTAAAAGATCCTACTCGAGATGCTCAGGCCTGTTGGTTGGCTTCATTTGCTTCGTAGGCCTCCACCTCGGCAATATTGGCCAAGTCGTACTCTATGACGCCCTTGCCCATAAACTCAGCGTACTTGCCGGAATCGGGCAGAGGATCGGCCGATCTCTTTGAAACTGCAATCGGAAAGATATAACGAAAGGTAAACTAATTAATGTGTTACTACTTACTGCCCGAAACGAATTTCTCCATCATGTAGACTTTCATATCATAGCACTCGTTGGCAATTCGCTCTGAGATGAGCGAGAAATCAGTAATGCGGGGCGTCACCACGCGCATTTGGTGTCGCACTCGCTCCGTGTCGATGTTGTAGTAGCCAGTGCTCATTTTCTTCATGAGGTCCACGAAGCTGGTTGGTGGCAGGGTAGTGTCGCGGTCCAAAGGCATGATGAAACACCTTCCGGAAGTGGTGTCGATAATAGCCGACTGGTTCTCTTTAAAATCGTGCATGAAGCGACCTCGACGGCCGTCCTTGAAGTCTGGAACATCCACCCTGGCGTAACCTTCCTCATCGCTATCGCCATCTAGTTCGATGTCCTCGCGGAAGTAGTTATCGTCGAGGGATCCACTGCTTGGCATCGAGGGTCCAAACTCAGGTATCAAGGAGTGCCAATTCAAAGCGAACGGTCCTTCACTGCGAGGATACACTCGCGCTACCTCCATTGAGTCCTCCGGATATGGAATTTCGCACAGTGCATGATAACGCATGCTGCCATGTGCAGGAGCGTAAACACGATAAAGTGTCCAGCCGCCCAGGACACCCAGGAGCATCACGACCACGGCGATGAGGAACAACAGAAAGGACTTGAGGCAATGGTGCTGCGGCCGGTTGAAGACCATCGATTCCGTGTCGGCTTCATTGTCGCTGTAAACGACCTTAGGCTGTGGGTGGGATTTTCCGTTGAGTGTAAAGGCGAATAATTAATGCGAAAAGGATCAATTTTAAGCAATTAAGGAAAATTAATTATAAACACACCAAAAATACATTATTTTTGCATCTTAAATATTATGAATTATACTTAACAAAGAACCTATAGAATACTGACATGTTGTTGCTATCGCCGTAATTCATATATTCATACTTAAGGCTTCAGTTAAAAGTCATAAAACCAGCGATAAGTAGTCGTAGAATATAGTGTAAAAAAAAGGTGGATGATTAATTGGGGTGAACATAAAAGACATTTTAAACTCCATATTTGTAGTCACATTTTCGTTATATTTGCAATCCTATGACTAGTTCACTCAGAACTGCATTGCTCTGTTTAATCCATATTCAGGCAGAAACTACGCCGTCAACAGAGATTATTTTGTCAGGTCATAATTTACCCCTTGCAACATTACACTCAATTGAAAGCATTTGCATGACAATTAGAGTGGACCTTTCATTAGAGGATTAACGCAAAAAGACTTAAAACGGATGTTGTAAAATATTCTGTTAAAACTTGAATGTAGACATTTTTTTGTATCTTAAATTTTAATCAAAATTATTGATTTTTTATTAGTGTTCGATAAGCATTATAAATAAATTGTATTTCTAGTTAATAGTTTAAAAAAACGTGTTTCGTATTGAGTTTTTAAATTTGTTTATTTATCATTCGAAAAGTTAAAGTCGATCGCTGCACTGGCATAATCGTAGAAACCCTACAGATAGCAAAATCTTTAATGGACGGGGTGTTTATGACTGTCAGCTGATAAGACACGACTTTCTTCGGATACCCATACACCCCACGTTCGCACACTTATCGAGGTCACTGTGCGGGGCAAAGAGCAAAAACAGCGCACAAAGAGCTGGAATTACAATCGAAACGGGGTTTCTCCAGCTGTCAGGGCCAATCTCCACCAGCAACAGGAAGAGGCACTCCGCTGACCTCGAGAAACGAGCGAGTCCTTGGTGGGGAAAGCCCAGGAAAGTGAATGAGCACACGTCATTTGGGGGTGGGGGAATAAGGACACCAAAGAGTGCGGGAATTCCAGCGGGGAAAAATCGATGGCTAGCTGCTGAGGCTGTAATTCGGATTCCGATTCGGAGTACCTGCCACCCAGAACCACACACCCATCACGAAACTTGTGGCTCTCGGAGCCGAAGGACGCGGAAATGGAAGGGGCGCAAGGACACCACTCGCAAAACGATTGCGCAAAAATAAGGCCACATCTCTGGGATGCACAACTTACTGCGATTAAGGAGCCGTGGTGCATCAGCGCCTCGTCGTTGAGGTTCATAGGCAAGGGCACCTTCTCCTGGTCCTTGATCTCCCCCCGCAATTTTCCGAAAATTGTCATGGCTGCTTGTCTTTATTCCGTGTTTTCGATGCTCCCAAACGGACGACTTTGTTTGTTTTTACGGAAAATTTAGTGCGCAATTGTTGACGAGCTGAAATCTCGATCTAGAAAACCAGTGTGACCAGATACGTACCGTCGGAAAAATATACCGAAATATGAGGCGACTGGTAACTTGGAAAAGAAAGTTAACCGGCCAAAATAAATCCTCAATTTGGTCTAACTAAAGTTAACTAACTATACCTTTTATACATATGTATAAATCTACACATTGTTAACTATTTCAATATTCACTTTAAGAAATGTTTCCCTCATTTAAATTTTAATTGTAGAAAAATTATATGTATATGTATAGTTAAATGTACTTTTGAATATATGTATAACAGTAAATTATTTTTTAGAACTGTATATACTACATAGAATATTTTGTTAACTTGAAATTTATTATAATACCAATTAAAAATGATATTAAAATTGGTGAAGTTTTATATTCTTATGGAATAGTTTATTTCGCTGTTAAAAATGTACGTTCTACTGGCAGTTGACGAGACATATTCGGAAAATGTAAGACGATTTTCTTAATATACTCATTAAACAGAAAATAATCAAAACGTTCACCTCGGGGCAGTGAGGATCCTAAGATCTCTGGGGCATTGAGTGGGCCGTTTGGACCCCTCTTCGGCCTTTATTTCTGCACTCTTACAATCTAATCATACAGAGCGGAGCGTTCTACTTATGACTATGCTGGTTGGAGAGGAAGGCGAGATGGCCCTTGGGACACTTGTTGGCGTAATGTCCCTTGTGTCCACACTTGTAGCAGGTTATCTCTTCTAACGGCGTAGGCACCTTTGACAAAACCGGATCCGTGTGACTGACTGTGGTGACTGGTTGGGTTGTCCTCATTGCCTTCAGACTGGCCAGAATGTCCCGAGTGTCCAGAGTATCCTGTATGCCCGCCAGAGTGTCCCGAGTGATCCATCGCGTTAATATTATTGCGGTGCTCAATACTGCCCACATATTGCTTGCATGAGTTAGCCTTGTGACCCAACTCTCCGCAATAGTGGCACGTGGGCAGCTTCTTATGCAGTTGATCCTTGCTAATATCCGCTAGTGGGGGCAGTTCGAAATGGGGATGCATATGCTTGCAGGATGGTCCCTCGGGACAAAAACCTGCCAGGTAGTCCATGCAAAGGACGCGCCGGAGATGTTGATGTCTGCAGTGGGGACCGTGGCGACAGAAGCCTCTTTTGTACCAAGGACAATCCTTGACCTTGCTCTGAGGATCAATGTGAAGGAAGGGGCACTCCTTGTTGTGGCAGGCATTGAATCTCGAGTAAAAGTAGCACTCGGGCATCTTTGTCATGTCATACTCGTGAAGGAACTCGCACTGGTCGCCTTTTTTGCACAAACCTCTAAGCCAATGCTTGCACACAATCGTTCTGTCTCCTCGAATGTGCCGGAATGGACAGGCACTTCCTTTGTCGCACTCCTGGCCATTCCGGGTGATGAAATTGCAGACCGCCGCAATGGACTTGTCCATGCCGTAAAATGGTAGTGGAATTGCCCCCACCTGCTCAATCAAGTCCCGCTCAGCTTTGAACTGCAGACCACTCACGTTGGCCAAAAGGATATCCATCTTTGTCGAATGCAATGATTGTATTTTATTCTTCGAATTCTCGTAAACAATACAGTTTCTTCTTTTTGCGCGAGTTGTTTTTATTTGTGTTGATAGACAGCCGGCGATATTGATATCGATAGGTTGCTGAGTGGCAGTGGCACTACTGCCTTTTTAGCTGTTTTAATGTCAAATGTAGCTATTAACTGATTGCAATGTAAATGACATTGTTAAATATAATAGTGTATCGATTTTCCTAAATAGCGTAAAATATTTGCGTGGAATTTTTATTAAGTTCGATTTTATTTTTAAATTTTCAGCGCCATATATAAGCTAGTGGCAATTCAATGATTTTTAGCCACTTTAATTAATCGTGTTGGTCAGCACTGTTGGCGGTTAAATTGTGGCACCGAAATCAAGTATTCGCCCAGTTAGTGTTGATGATAAAACGGTTTATCTATTTTTGGAACAGCACCTTTCAACTGCTTTGGTTATATAAGAGATACATTTCGGTATTTTTTAATTCAAAACATTGAATTCGGGCAAATTCGATAATGAACCACCCCCACTAGCGGTCGATAGTCAGTTGGTATCGATCTGTTGTTTACAACTTTTCGCAATGTCTACAACGTAAGCAGTCTGCGTAAAAATCTACGATTAGTTAATTTGGGAGCGAGGGACTGGAAAATGTGGAGCGAGCGCTGCTAAAGGAACTACCCAACCAACCACCCACAACGTCCATCCACTCCAAAGGTCAAATGCTGCCTTCTTACGAGCGTTTCAGCGATCCCAAAAGCGTCTTCTTCCGGCTTCCCTTCGCAAGATTGGCAGTGGTGGCTCTTAGTTTGCCCTTGGGAGGATTCTTTTTCTGCGTTATTTGGTCGCTGACCTTCGACTTCGTTAGGAGCACCTACACTCACTGCGATGTGACAAACTACCTACCATCAGTCTCCGCAGCTATTGGGAATTATGAACCCCAAAAAACTGTTTGGAGACTGGCCATCTTCCTGCATTTACCACTGCGTTTGGCGGTGGCCAAAATCTATTTGGAGCATTATCGGGAACATATCCGCAGAAGCAGGAGGTTACTAGGCATTCTGGCATGCTTCCTGAATGTTGTGGAGGATTTAGCACTTTTCTGCCTGTCCTTTTGGACTTCCGCAGATCATTATGAGACTCACAGGAACGCCTTTGTGGTGTTTATCGCCTGCTCTGAGTGTTACATGTTGGTTTCCTACCTGCTGAACAGGAATATACGGAAGACTGTGCTTTTGCCACACGAGGAGAAGTCATTGCGGTACAAGAGAAACCTGTTTTTGGTTAATGTGGTGGCTTTTGGATTGGCAGGATACTGCTTCGTTAGGCACAACTCCCATTGCGAGGCTGGAGGTTAGTGGATGGATTTGGTTAATCTTATCATTCTTATCTCAATTTTTTCATTACTAATTGGATTGGATTTTTCATTGAACATAATTATATATACGGGATTAGATAAGTTTAAGTGAGTTGTATTTTCAATATAGCTTTCATTCACGAATAGTGTTTTCAAATCAGGGAATTAAGTATTTACATGACATTTAGCCCACAACGCCAAGATATGATTAATTTGTTATATTTATTTTCTATATATTTATATCATATGTATATATATATATATATAAAATATATTTGATCATTAAAAAAATTTTTTTTTTTGCAGTGTACACCTTTTTTGCCTTGTTCGAGTATATCGTAGTGCTGACCAACATGGGATTCCACATGACATCCTACTGGGACTTTTACGCCCTCAACGTGGTGTGCGATGCCAAGCACGGCCTTTACCTATCGCAGATCTAGATCAATTAAAAATGCAATTCCAGTCAGCGCCGCCATATCATCCAGCCAGTCGTCTCCGAGTATTCTGTACATACGCGGTATTAGCTTAAGCTCAAAGTTTACTTAATTTCCATAAAGGAAACTGCTTCCGAGGAATTCCGACAGGAAACGATTCAGTATGACAGGATCTGATGCATACACACGCTTTTAGTTAAGGCTTCGGCACGCTTCAAAAAGTGTCCAGAAGATTTAGTTAAATTCGAACCGAGTTCCATCAATATGTAATGCATTATTTATATTCGTGATCTTAGTCAAGAACATGGCTTTACTAAGGTTCTATTTATACAAACGAATTTTTTGATTGGCTTTTTGGTCCTAGTATTTATTTGTTAAGCTTAAAGTTTTATTTATTTGAATTCCGCTAAATGGCGAATATAACATTTGTAACTCTATTGACTGCATTGTTTTTATAACATAACTTAAATATTTTTTTAACCAACTTATGTATTTTGAAGCTGGTTGTCAGTTCTATTTGTCATCGGAGTGTTAGTTTTGAGTTGTGTCAGAAGGGAATTAGGTCTGGAAATCAAAAACATTTTCAATTAATTTAAAATGAAGCACTTTGTCGAGGATCAAGCCAAACTGTTGCCCAGTTCCATAAAGGATCTGCAAGCGACGCGGCATATCCATATTCCAGTGGGTCCATTTCTGGCGCTGGGTCTTTTGCAGGTGCCACTGTGTATGGCATATAACCTGGTAATGGCCATCACAACCGATTTTGAGGCAACCACATATACATCCTGTAATGTCTTCAACTTCATTCCATCCACATCGGCTGCTGCCAAGTCGCAGCACATAATTTGGGCTTTGGCCTGCTGGCTGGAGTTTCCATTCCTCATTGCCAGTGCCTGGTTGCAGTTTCGCTTTATCCGAAGAAATTTGCCCAAGCCGGTCCGGAGTTTCGGTTGCCTTGTGGCTATTTTTTTGGTGATTAATAGTTTGAGTTTGCTGCTGTGGGGCACCTTTGCTCAAGTGGATGGTGACTCATTGCTGCACATAGCAAACGCGTTATCCGTTTTTATGTCGGGCGCCATCTACATGGCTGGATCCTTCGTGTGCGCCAAGTACTACATGCACGATAAAAATAGGCAACTGCACGAGGAGCTATCCTTCCGATTGAAGAGCGGCCTCGTTTTCACCTACTACGTATCTGTGGTGATCACGTGGTTCTTTTATTTTGTCCACCACGAATTTTGCCTTCCCTTGGGTGAGTAAACGAAACAAGCGAGAAGCAAGCTTTTTTTGATACCAGAATCTGCCACAGCCTATTCCATTTTCGGCTTGGGTGAGTTCATCTCCTGCGAGTGCTTCTGTATTTACCTGTGCCTGGCCTACTTTGACTTCTACCACGTCTACATATGCTATGATCAGCGATTGGGTTTCTTTCTCAGCGAGATCTAAACAGCTTTTAATTTCTTATGACATGTATTAACAAAACAAAGAGAACAAAAAGTCTTAACGTCACGTTTCGTAGATGCGCACCAGATCGTCCAGACTAATCGGATACTGGGTTACTGGGCAGTTTCCGTGCTCCTTCATGTGGCTAACGATACACTTCCAGCAGAAAACGTAGCCCGAAACGGAGCATGCAGTGGGTGTCTGAATCGGTAGTAGGCAAACGGGGCATTCTCCCCTTTTGGGAATGGTCTTCTCAATTTCTTTGGGTAATTCCTTTTTGGGCATCGCTTCCGGGTTGATCAGAGTGCCGCCCACTTTGCGCCGTTGGTCGTTGGAGTACCACCACTGGACAAACTGCAGGAAGAAGGCCAAAACTTCAAGCATTTTGAGGACCAGGTAGGTCCACTGATCCTCTTGAGGAGGCTCGGTGGGATAGCGAAGATTTAGCCCCAAAAATCTGAAGATGGGCGAGTGGTTGGAGGCGTACTTTACAAGGTAAAGGAATGTGTGTACCGCCTTGGCGGCATGGAAAGCATGGAATGCACTCATCAATCGTTGCTCCCAGGGATTCGTGTCCTCGTGCCTGGTGATTCTGCTCCGTAGCTTGCGCTCTACGTAGGGAATAAAGGTCAGCAATGTGGCAGAGGTGAACTGCTGTCGGCGGTTTAGCAAATCTCCTGTTTCCATGACTGTCCTCTGCAATCCATAGAAGCTCTCCCCAAAGGAGGAGGCGCGTTTTCTCAAGTACAAATACTGCAACATCCATGTTAAAAGCGGCGACAGCTCCTCCTGAATCCTCAAATTTCCCCAAAGTTTAAAGTCCAGCCGCAATCCAAAGTAGTCAAAAATTTTGCTTAGCGCTGGATAAATCAGGTTGTCCAGAGTCTCCGCCGCCGAAATCTCGAAGATTGAAGGGACATTCTGCAGGTTCTGGCGCACATTGGCTGCTTCTGCCATTGTTTTTAGTCCGTTTATAAGTCAAAACTAAATCGGCGGTAAGGTAAATAAAATATATACAGTTAATAGGAATTTCTTATCAGGGATGGTTGTATCGATTTTTGGCTTGCAAATAGCCAACACATGTTGATCCCTATTTTGAGTTATCGGCAGCACTACCGATAGTTATGCTTAATAATTTGTTTTTTTTCTGCCGCTATTGTTTATTTACCAACCCATGAAAATATATACATTTATGTGTAATATATAACCAAGACGATGAAAACCTCCGGCACAGGCAATCCGGACGAGCTGAACAAGTCATCGCACAGTAAGGTCAGCAAAAAGTCCACCAAGTCTCGTTCCAAGTCAGCGAAACTGGAGTTGGCTGGAAAGAGCTCTCTGTCGGCATCTGGTACTTCCGCATCTTCTGGGGGCGTGGTGGGTAGCTTGCCTGCCACTCCCACACATCTAAACATGGTTACAACGCCCACGACGCCGACTTCCAGTCTAGGAAACTACAATCTGTTTGACGCCTCATTTGCCGTAGCGGGAGGCGGTGGTCATGGAATATCAGGCGGAGTCGCGGGAGAAGCCTCTGGTAATTCCAGTCGAATGGTAAGTGGTTTTCCCAATTTGAAGACTTCCTTTCGATAAAAACATTCTTTTTTGTAGGGTCATCAAAAGAGCTATGCCGGATTTGATCCACGCAGCATTAAAATCTTTTGGGAGCAGCACGATCAGACTGATGTGGAATTATCCCAGGATGTATGCGCCCGACTAGCCGAAGATGCCTCCTACAAAGTCTGGGAGCTGATCAATGTATGGGAGTAAAAATTAATCTTACGTTACCTGTCTTAATTCTCATTTTAATCCATTAGAACGTCAAAATCTACTCTCGTCATTCGGGCGGAGTTGTGACCTACGATTTGGTTAACGAAGTGCTTAAGGATTCTGATGTTCCGCCCATGCTGGGCGCTATGGACAGCGACTGGGATCGTATCGACTACGATGGCAGTTTTTACTTTCATTCGGACAAGATCTTTGAACTGAGCGCCGAGTTTCAAAAAGAGATTAGCCTTTGCACACCCTATGATGCAGACTTTCAAAGCATCTGTCCCGTTGAGGATAAGCATACAGATCAGCTGAGGCAGTGTGTTCAGAGCCTGGTTACGGCTGCCCTTTTTGCGGATAGCAAATCCCAGACGGCTGCCATTTGCCACGCTTTCCAGACGCCCCTCATGGGTACTATATATCGGGTGATAGTAAGCAAAATGGTTCAACTGCTTGCCTTTAAACAGCAGGATCAGTTAAGCCAGCGATGCTGGCGATTGCTCCGCGCCTGCAACTATAACTCCACTGCCAATCACAATGCCTGTCGACCGGAGTATTTCAACCTGGCAGAGGTGCTTGTTAGCCAGCTGATGGCGCCTTACGAGACTATCAAAGCTCCACCTGACGACCCAGGTCCAGGACAAGAAACCAGTATCAAAATGGAGTTCGAGGAGCAACTCAAAATTGAGCCAGAGCAGTGCCCCAATATGGAAAATCCGGATAACACAGAAGTAGAGAAGCAGGAGCAGGATCCGCAAATGTTTCCGAGTGAAAGCACCCGGGAGCACACCATCTATACGTTGCAAGCTGAAGAGGATGACCGAAATCCTCGACCAGAGGTAGAACATCTGTCCACCTACTTTGCCAGTCCAGTTGGCAATGGCCTGGTGGATGAGCTGTGTGAAACTATTGGACAATTAGCATCCCAAAGTGGTTACATGCAGTCGGAATGCCTTTTCCTGATCAAAAGACGCTTGGCGAGATTCTTCGAAGGTCGCGACATTTGCAGTGAAAGGGGTATGATATCTTAACCAGCTATAAGTTTGATCTTTAATCTATGGATTATTTTACGTAGATTTTAAGTACATCAGTAGAGCAGTTCGTGGGCTAATCGCATTGGGGGAGTACGCCTTCCGAGAGTTTATACCCTACATCTATAAACTTCGCGTTGAGGAAATCCCAGATAGCCTGTGGCAAGATGTGGCGCCAGCTGCCATATTTCTAGGGGGACATGATGATGTATACCTGTACGAATGGTTGGAGCACGGATGCGGTGCCGCTCTGCAGCCTTTCCTAGTGCACTATGCTCGTAAGAAAGCCATAATAATTTGTTCAAATCGGCCTAAAATGTTGCTTTTGCTGCAGGCTCCTATGAAAAGATGGTAACCAGGATGTATGTTCGCAGTAAACCCCCCGCTTACAGGATTGAATCAGTGCCAGGGGTGCGTCGATTAGAATGGAGCACTCTTGCTGCCGCGATGTGCCATGGTGACGATCCAAGCAAGGCTTTAAAACCGAAGCCCACTCTCCGCGAGGCATTCCCTGAACTCCAGGAGCCCAATCTACAGCTAAACTGCGCAGGCAATATTCGCTTCAAGTTCGCCGGCTGCCGGCCAATTCTACTCAAGCCAAAGGTTTCGAGTGCCGTTTCCGTGGATTCACCGTCGTCGGTAGCAAATGGAGGTGCAGGTGGCAGTACTAGTTCTGACATTCTCATCGCAAAGCGAAAGCTCTTTAAGCCGCTGACTAATGTGAAGAGGAAGTCACCAGTCAGTGGTTATCACTACCTTAGAATCTGAACTTAGAGATGTATTATAAGACCTTCTGGACGGTCCAGGAGGAGACCTGGGGATCTCAATAAAACTATTTAAGACTTTAGATTTGCTCTACAGTCTTCCAAAATTTCAAACTCTCAAGTTGTATCAAATCAATCTGAGTTTTAATGAACCTAGTCGCCATTGAAAACAAAACTTTACTCATAAAACATAAAAATACGAGACTAGAAGGCGTCCTCCTGGCCATTTTTTGCCCCCAGGACTGGGACCGGAACTCCCGCCGCTTTCATATCTGCCATAATACGCTTGTTGATGATATTCCGGATGTTGGCATTTACGTCCGGAAGCAGTCCGCCGGTTCGAGCTGCATGCTCAATCCGCTGGACGACGTCGATTTCGCGACGCGATGATATTAGGTTAGTAACAAGCGACTTATCTATGTTGCCCACTCTTCCAATCCTGCCACAACGATGGATGTAATCGGAGACATGAAGCGGAAAGTCGAAGTTGACCACATGCCGAGCTCGGGTTGTGTCTAAACCACGACTTCCGACGTCCGTGGTAGAAAGCACGTCGCAGTGACCATTCTGAAACTGCTCGAAGCGGCCAAGACGGATTTTCATAAGCATGTCCCCGTTCAGATTCAAACAGTTCACACCGCTATTGTTTAGGAAGATGGAAACATAGTCACTAGTAGCGGATTTGTTGCTGAACACAATTAGAGGCCGGCGCTTGGCAAGATCCTGCTTAACAAGCGACAGGAGGGTGGCAGGGCGATCGGCCTTTGCCATACGAAGAAACTTCTGCGTCACGTGGGGCATAAGTCGATGTAGGTGCGGACTAACCACCTCCCGGATGGTGTCTACATCAATGACTTTGTGTAAGATCTCTCTGGTGTTGGTAGGCATAGTGGCCGAGGCCAGAATCAGCTGGGTGCCCGCTTCTTCCTTTTGCACCAAATGGAACTGCCAAAGGAAAGGAAATTAGTTAGAAACTCATCTCGTACAAAGTCTAATTAAGACTCACGGGAAATCTTCGGAGGAAGTACGTCAGTTTATCAGTAAATGTGTCATCTAGCAGAGTGTCCGCCTCATCTAAAACAAGGTGGCGCACCTGCTCCATGCGGTAGATTCCGGTAGTTACCAGTTTGCTGAGTGCCCCCAAAGTAGCCACCAGGATGTCCACCTCCTCGAATTGTGGATTCATCATTAGCTGTTTGGTGTTGCCCCCAAGTAATGCTTTTACTTTAAGATTTGTTCCCTGGATGAGCTTTTCGGTGACTCCCGCTATCTGGGTAGCTAGTTCTCTGCCAGGTGTAAGGATCAACACTTGTGGAGTGTTCAATTTTCTTTCGGAACCTATTTCTCTTTGAAGTAGCTTGTTTAGAACAGGCAATAGGTATGTTAGGGTCTTTCCACATCCTGTTTCTGCAGCAATCAGACAGTGCTCCTTTCCATGGACTATAGGTATTCCCTGCTTTTGAATCCCCGTTAAAAGCTTGATGCTTAGTTCGCCTCGAAAATTCTCAAGAAGTTGCGGATGAATTTGGAGACCTGTGTCGTTTAGGAACTCATCTATGGCTTGCATTTCCTGCTGGAGTTCCTCCCCTCGCAGGCTAGCATTTAAGATGAAGAAGTCCCCCTTAGACTTGTTGTGTAGCCACCCCTTGGAGGCCAGCGGAATGGTTCCGAACTTGGCATCTGTCTTCTCGTATTGGGTTAAATTAAACTGGCTTTTTCTGCAGGAGATTAGCGGGTTATCCCTCTGGTTTCTGGGCCTGTCCTTGTGTTTCGCCTTCCGTTGTTTCGTTTGCGTCTTAACAGCTGCCGCTGTGGCAAAGGCAAACGTCCTTTGAAAAGTTTGCACCCGTAGCACCACAGACAAGTTCAACATGCTTTTGAAATGGATTATTCAATGTTTTCGTTGCCGGCGAGTCAGCTGTGAGTACATGGACGTAGTCATGTATAAGCTCTCGCCCCGAGAGGGGTCTAAATAAGTAGTAATAAGGCATATTCGCCTTTTTGTTTAATTGTTTTATATCTGCAACTAAAGTTTAGTTAAAATGAAATAATTAACGGAGTATTTATTTGAAATATCCGTTTTTAAAAATTGACGATGCTTTTGTGTGAACATAGTGTTGTAAGACGTCTTTTGAAAATGCTGCTTTTTGGCGGTAAGTTTTAAAATTTGTTTTATTTTAGATCCTTTATTTATAAATACACAACTCGGAAGGTAAAACAAATCTTAATCTTATTTATAATAAACGTAAATTTTAAATAATCAAACAATTCCGTTTAAAAAATAACATCTATGGTAAATACGAATCATTAAATGAACGCTCAATCTCGATTAAAAGCGGCTTAATATCCTGATACTGAGCCATTCTCTCCTTTATTAAAAATTCCACTTTTACTCGCTCGGCCTGTACATCTTGTATACGCTTACGGTTTTTAATGCTTTTGGCCATAGCAATCTGAAAAGATATGTTTTTAAATGCTAAATTGTAACTATGGTAATTGTCTACTTCATATTTTTACTTTATCTAATCATCTTATACAAAATCAACTTATGTTTATTGTATTGTAATACCTCAAGCTCCTTCTCCTGGACCTGCAGCTGTCGCTCGATGTAACGAATGCTGAGATCCAGATTGTGCATGCGCAACGGGCGAGTGACGTCTTCAGGGGATGCACTGTTGAATTTCCTGAGGGTTAGAATAAAGAACTTTAAAGGTCCTGGTTTATTAAGTCGTCCGCTATCCACTCACCAGTCAGTACCCTCATGGGAAGCAAACTGCTCCTTGAGCATCTCTAAAGTAGTCAGCTTGGTCTCCACGTCGTTGCCAGCGAAGACGCATTGGTTAAGATCGAGGACGATCTTCGTCATAAGGCTTCGAGTGCTGTTTATTATTTGCTCGGTGTCCAGGCTTGAGTTTTCGTGTTCCTCAAGGATGTTGGCACAAGAGTCCAGATCTGACGGACTAAAAACAAACTCAAATTTGATCACAATCGGGGTAAAGAAAACATCACGCCTACCTCAAATCGGCAAAGATCAGCCCAATGGCTTCCTCGTAAGCTTGTTTCACCTGGGGCACGATCGCCTGGTGCCGTCTGAAGGCAGACTCGGTGTCTTTCTCCATATTGTCCACAGTTTTCTCTTACTTTACCTTATTGAGAAATTGGAATTGTAAAATAAAAATTGGCGACCGAATAACATGTGTGACCATTTCAATCATGCTTAAGAATACCAAAATACGATCAACCCCAACATTTACATACATATGGGGTATTCGATTAATGCAGATTAGGCAGATAATAGATATAATTGTGATTTAATCTGAACCATCTTTATTTATTAAACTCATATAAGATAATATGGGACCACATTTGTTTTTAATATACTTGTCTATATTATATTTTTGTATTTTAATAATGTTACATAAAAACTTTATGTTCTAGTTACTATTATTGTGTTTAACTACTGTGTTGTGTTATGAACAACTAAATCTATTTATATCTTAAAAAAACTTTTTTATTTATTTTTCTTCTTCTTAAAAAAAATACTATAAGTAAACGACATCGGAAATTGGTGTTACTTCATAAATACCCAATGTTAGTAACCCATTTTCAACGCCAAATTCAAAGATTATTTTACCAACTGAATTACCTAACTTTTCACATGTCGTATCGGCAAAAGAAACTTGCATTCAGTGGAACTCCACTTTTCAGTTTTCGCGAAAAGTTGGACTGCACTTTCCCACATCGAAAAAACTTGCCACAATGGAATTTCCTTTTATCTCCGTTCTTTCGAGAGGGTTTTTAATTTGTGCAACGTTTTGCGCAAACTGTTGAGGCGGGGACGCAGTTTTTAATATGTTTTGAGTAATTTGTGCACATTTGCGAATTTTTATCGCAGTCACAAAAGTTCGTCCTTTGTGCTTCTTTATCGCGTGCTCCTTGTTGGCGCGGTTGTAATGATGACTTTATGACTTTATTTACGTGCAATAAAGGAATCATTCCGCGAGAAATTCAGGTTTAAGCATCATCCTGCCACTACTTCCGAATATAAATGCGATCCAGGTTAATTTATTCGCTGGCCGAGTCCTGCATTTCCATTATTTTCGGGGCCGAAAAGGAACTCAGCTGCGGAGTAGGCTGAATTCGAAATGTGCTCCTCTGCACAGGAAAAAATCTCGTTATCAAAATATACTCTCGTATATGGATTGTTAAAGATGTGAAGGAATTGAAAGTCAAAAAAATATCTTTCGGACTCATATATTCCAAAACACAGTTATGACTTCAATCATAAAATAGATAAACATGTCAATGGCATTTCTTTCTGTGTGGCTTGGCCCTTAAATATGCTAAATCCCAGCCAGAATCCTGAGCTGTCCTCTCCAGAATTCGGAGGCGTGCCAGTCGGTGGCCGTGTTAACATACATGTGCTACTGCCTGACGCATGTCTTGCTAAAACTTGGCTCTGAATTTGCATTTCAATGATTAAAGTGTTAAAATGCCGGCCGACACATGCGGACTTTTCAAAAAGAGCCCTCTACCTTCGTCCCCCGGATAGTTCCTAATGGCTTTATAAAGCGAACACCTCAAGCAAGATGCGATTTTAATATTCTTATACTCGTGCACATGGTGTGAAAAACTTGTAAATGTTGACTTTTTGTGGTGCGACTGGTATGCAAATCAGTCTTAAATTCTGAGATAAAGTTTTGCATACTTTTCTGAATTCTGAATTATTCAAATTTAAATAACTACACCTATATTTTGGACAAAGTTTTTCTTGCACAAAGTATTACGAGAAGAAAGACTTCTTTTTCTAAAAACTTATTCATTTTATAACTTAATAAGTGAAAAGAATGAAGAAGTGTAGTAGTTTTTCTAATATAATATTAACCTCGATTCTTTGTTGTTCCTTTTAATTTAGGGAATTACACGTGGAATTAGCGAATTAAAATTTTATAAAAAGAGAGTAGAAAGTTTTGGAAATACAAAAATGTGCGTGTCCAGATACTATGTCCGGAGACTGGTAAAAAGTTATCCGAATTTCATTTAGTAATAAAAATGTGGCGTGACGTTCTGTCCCGGGTTTTCTCTAGTTCCAAATTAGATAAATCACTCTACTCTAATTGCTACTCCATTTTCCCGATAAGCGGGGCCATAAAAAGGTGAAACAAAGGACATCGCGGCCTAACTCCAATCACGGCAACGCCATCTACACAAATAAAAACTGATATGAAATGGTGAAATATTTAATAAGTTTATATATGGAACAATATTTTAGTATTGATAAAGTTTTTAGTTTCTTATTGTATTTAGCGTAACTTTTTAAAAAAATTTTTTTTCTTAAAAAGTTTCACTTCACAATTTTATTTTTTAGAGTATGCTTTAACCATATTTCATTCTCTATCTAGATTTAACATTATTTACATAAAAAATGATTCGAAAAAGGTAAATATCTATTGTGCTCGAATTCAATTCCGAGTTGATATCGATCTGTTTTTTCTGTGTTCCACAGTGGACACTGCCTGCCGGCGACAGCCTTCACTCGACGACACGTTTGGGCGTGACAGGAATGAAGGACCTCTCCGGGATTTACCGGGTTAGTGGGGAATATAACTGGGGATTACTTTGGGAGGGAAAGCGGGGGCGTCAGCCGCAATGCGTGAAGTGCATTTAAAATTTGCGCTGCATACTTGTCGCCTCAAATTACAGCGCATTTGTCGAGTGTCGCTTTGTGCTTTGTTCCTGTATTTGGGCGCTGCATTCACATGCGAAAGCCACAATGGTGGTCACATAAATAGATGTTTTTAGTTTTTAAGATGATGTGTTTTTTAATGTGTACGAAAGTGTCACCAGAATCTGTTAAAATGGTGTGTCAAAGAATTGCTAAAAATTCGGGATTCCTCCCAAAGGCTGTTAAAAAGTAAAAAAATAGGAAAAATTCTTATTTTTTCTTCGTATTCTTATATACTGATGTATTGGATATGCGGATATCAGGGATATATTAACTTGTTGGTTAATCAACATATCAGCTAATCAACAAAATCGAATTATTGAATTGGAATGTACCCCTAGGAAGGCCGACCGTTGATTATCAGTATTTATGTGACCGCAACTGTAGGCACTCATGCGTGCAGACGATTTTGAAATGCTGGAAATGCGCTTTAAGCACGCATTAGAACAATGCATGAAACCACAGCTGTAGCGAGATATATATAGATATATATTTAGTATCTCTACATATCTGGATATGGCAGCCGCAGTTCTACCGATTTTTGCGAATTAACACTGCACACGCAGATGAATTGTTAGCACAATGGCCAAAAGTACCCGCAGACAATTGGTATTCACATCGAGTTCCAGCTACACATGTAAGCCTTCGTGCAAGATGCTTCATCTTCTGTTTCGGGTGGATTTTATGTGCTGCCTCCCAAGCATTTTGTTTGCTTAAGCTTCTCCAGGGGGGTTTCCTTCTGGGAAGGGAAAAACATAAACAAACACAGGAGACGAAAGCCGGCTGAAGGGGTTAGTTTACCGATGCGGCTTTTACGGGCTTAACATATTAATTAAACTTGAAGTGGAAACACGAAACCCGGCTGGGTCAACTTTAAATTAAGTTTTAATCTGTTGCTCATATTTAAACAGCCAGCAGGTTGTTGAGTGTGTGGCTGCACTGTAAAAAGTCCATTTACTTCTCATTGTAAAAAATAAATATACATATTTAGGTGTTATGTCACCTTAAATATATTGTGACTTATTATCCGTGGTATTTATATCTGTTTGCTAATGTCTCTATAAATGGATAATCTTATTATGTGTCTTCACATATCTGTGATTAGCTGCGAAGCACTTTGGACTCTCCGTGTAGACCCTCAAGGGTACTTCAACCGTGCGTGTGGTGCGGTCTGTGTATTGTTGTAAGCTCCGATATTCCGGCTCTGCATCTCTAATTGAAATTGGTCATTTGGCACAGCGACCGACGACATGGGGACTCAAGACTGACGGATGACAGGCGACAAGTGAGTGGCAAGCAACGACATCGAGCTCTCAACTCATCCTGGCCTGCACAGGAAAAAAAAACTTATATGATGGTGAGCTATGTCCATCGATGGGTGCGTTTTCTGATTCATAAGTGATTTCATTACTCTAGAATACATCAAATATCGACCGAATGGTATCCAGGTATTTCTTATTGTGTGGCATCTCCCACCGAAAATAAACTTGTAGCTCCTCCTCGCTGTTCGGTTAATGCAGTTAACTTGGATTCCGTCCGTGTCCAGGAGAAATCGCATAACTCTTCGCTGGCCCGATCCCATCCACACGTGCTGAGACACACCTGTGCGGATGGATGGGCGCAAGTGGGTGCGGAAGTAGGACTGTTCCGCACCGGCAGATTGACAGCTTAATAAATTAAAATGCATTAAGTGGCTGGCGTAGATTTGCGGCAGCCATAAATCTTTCACCCCTAGCTCTAGAAACGGAGCTGGCTTTGGGCTTAAATATTATATTGTAATTCAAATATTTATGGCCATCAGCGTAAATAAAACTGTCTACTAAACATGGATCGGGGGTTCCAAGTGATGTATGTGGCTCAGGTGAGGGCCGCCACCTGTCACTTTCCATTCCCCGGCCTCATCTTCTACCCTCTAAGCTCGCAGGGCAACAAATTCTCACGCACTGAGCCATTGACACGGGCTGCTAAGCTGTTGAAGTCGGGGTCTTGGGAACTCCGGCCTTCCCTCGGCAGCTGCCAAAAGAAACGCCAGAAGGTTGCTAACCCCGTCCAGACTGCCGGGGGATTCCCCTTCTCAAGCAGACTTCGCAGATGCGTAGGAAATCAAATACATGCAAAATAGCTTCACTTTCAAGAGCGATGCATATTTGTCAAGTTGAAAAAGCCGGGATTGTACATTCGACAGTGGAGTGTGCGTGTGTGTTTGGATAATGGAATGAATTTCGGCCGGGACTCATGCCTAAAAACCAGCGTAACATGGATAGTAAAAGTACAGAGGGAGAAATTGATAGCTCATTTTAGTCTAATGAGTTTAAGTTCAATGGTTTTTGGTTTCAGAAAATTTGCATAAAACTTTAGTCAACAAGGTTACTATAGTTACCTTTGAAACTGCCCATTTTTGTTGATTTCCTCCAAATCTAAGAAGAGTGTATAAGATTTTAGCTTCAGTGTGTTTAAGGGTTCTCGACCTTTAAATC